TTACCCATTTTGAAAGTCTGTACAGAAAGTCACTGATACCCGTAGCCTTATCACCAAGAGTTAGGACAAAAAATATTTAAGTTATTCTGAATGATTCAAAACCCCCTTAAATCTCCAGTTCATGCAATCTAGTTTCCTCAGGTAACACATGCAGCTTTGGGGAAAGATGGTATTTTTTACAGTCTGCTATAAAAAAAAGTTGGTAAAAATTAGGGTAAGGATATAAGATCCCTTATCCTTGTGGAACACTGTAAAATGAAGGTTCAATCACCAAAACATGGGTTTTATGGGAAACAAATCTGGTCAATCAACCCCAATTTTATTTTAATGAGATAATATGGTAAGTTGATAAAGGCAACTACAGAAGTTGTAATAGCCTTCTGTACAGTATTTGACTCAGTGCCACACTACTTTCTTATTAAAACTGGCACTATGCAATATTAATAAAACACATTATATAGATTAGAACTGGCTGCCAGATGTCAGAAAGTAGCTGTCAATGGGAAATCATCATTTAACAGAAGTGTTTACAGTGGGGTTCTGCAGGGATCAGTTCTAGGCCTAATACTATTCAAAATCTTCATCAATTATCTGGAAGTAAATATAAGATCAGTGCTGAGATAATTTGCAGTTGACACAAAGATTAGTGGAGTAATAAACAATGATCAGCGCAGGACAGTCACAGAGAGTGATCTGGATCATTAGGTAAACTGGACTCATTCAACCAAAATATGTTTTAATACATCCAAAAGATAGATCATATGTCTAAAAACAAAGATTGCTGTCACACCAACAGAATGTGACACTATGTAACAGAAAGCAGTGACTCTGAAAAGGATTGAGGGGTCATAGTTGACAAGCAACTGAACACAAGCACCCAGTATGAGGTCTTGGCAAAAAGTACAAATGAAATCCTTGGATGTATAAACTGGGAAGTGATGTAGTATATACAGCATTTGTAAGAATCTCAGAAAAATACCAACTGCACTTCTGATTCATTTGGAAGTCTTCACTTGAGGGATCGGTTAATGCTACTGGCACCTTTAACTACTGCGACACATACAGAAATAATTTAGTGGATTAGAGTGGCAGCTTGATAGTCTTATTAAAGTACACAGGCCAGAAAGCTATTTCCCTTCATTTGCTTCCACTGTACTTGATTTGAAATCACTAGAACATGTAAATAAAAGAGGAATTAAATGAGAGTCCAATGCACAAAGCAGACTCAACTAAGTTAGGTCTCTCTTCAGTGATAGTAAATAATATAAATGGCCTTAGTTTGCTTCAACTTATATTTACTAAGCAAAACTGAAATATTAATTTGGCTTCAACAACAGTGTATTATTTCTGTGTTAAGTCAGGGGTGGGCATTAAGCTGGCAGGCCGTTACCACTTTATTTACCTGTGCTTCCACAGGTATGGACACTCAAAGCTCCTGTTGGCTGTGGATTGCCATTCCTGATCAATGGGAGCTATAGGAAGCGGCATAGAATCATAGAATACTAGGACTGGAAGGGACCTCGAGAGGTCATCGAGTCCAGTCCCCTGCACTCATGGCAGGACCAAATACTGTCTAGACCATCTCTGATAGACATTTATCTACTCTTAAATATCTCCAGAGATGGAGATTCCACAACCTCCCTGGGCATGGACCAGAACACTGCTTCCCACATCTCTGATTGGCTAGGAATGATAGTCCATAGCCAACGGGAGCTTCAAGCCACCATACCTGCAGACGTACAGGTAAACAAAGTGGCAGCAGCCTGCTGGGAGCTCCTACATCTGGCCCCTGGGTTGGCACTATGCTCTGGTGTTTACAATCTCAGTTGTTAAGATGCAAGAGCTATATTTTAAATAAATTATTCAAGTCACCTGTCTAACAAAATATTCAGTATGCAATTCTCTTTTGATATATACCATGAATACAAATACATCACGCCCTTCCAGATTATAATGCACTATATAAATAGTGCTTAGCCCTTATACAGCAGTTTTACGTGACTCCTCTCTTCTTTATCAGAACACTGGGAATTACAGAAAAAAATGACTAAAATTAGATACAACAAAATACACACTGGATGGGAAAAATGCTGAACCTCAACCAGAACACAGCAAGCAGGATACACTTCCTAAAGACAGCAAGTGCAGAAATGTGACAATCAATAATGACAAGGCTTACAGGAATACCTTGCAGGCTGCCCTGCACCGTTCCATTGGGAGGTACCTTTACTTCTAACACAATGTACAGGCCTCATGGAATGGACCCAAATAGCTGAAAAAAATTGTATCAGCAAAAAATCAAAAAGTTTGCCTTTGAAGGCATTTTTCTACCTAACAAAATACCCTCATCAATGGAATTAACCTTTCAATGGGGAATGATAACAGTAACAATTGGGATTTATTGTCTATCTGCTTGTGATTAATAGAGAGGAGTCTAAAGTAACTAACAGAGTGGAGGAGATGTATTTTGCAGCACTTATGTGGGTTTTTCGTCACATACCTTATTGAGCTCTGGGAACAGTTCTTGTAACCCAATATCCAGCAGAACGTAAGTCAACTAAAAACAGAAAAAGTAGTTATTGTAAAAGGGTCAAGGCCAGTTATTATGACAACCCTTTCAGACAACTATACTGCTCTTCCTTAAAAAAAAAAAAAAAAAAAGGATACTGAAAAAAACAGCATTCAAAAGACATTTTGGAAAAAGATACTGAAAAAACAGCATACAAAAAACAGCCACAAAATGATTCAAAGACTGAAGAAAATGCGTTCGAGTGAGAAACTTATCAAGCTAAAGAGATCAATTCACCTAGGTGAATTGATTACAGTGTTCATCTACAAGGGTAAGATACTGTGTACTAAAGGGCTCTTTAATCTTTAACAAACAAACAAACAAACAAACAAACAAAACCCCACAAAAACATGACAAGAACCATTGCCTGGAATCTGAATTTAACCACTAGGACAAATTACCAAGAAATATGGTGAATTCTCTACCTCCTGATGTCTTCAAATCAAGACTAAATGCCTTATTGGAAGATATGCTTTAGTCAAACACCAGTTAATGGGCTCAATACAAGGGTAAATGGATGAAACCGAATGGTCTTTGATATACTGGAGGTGTGATCTGTTGATCTAATGGTCAGTCTCTACTGGACTTAGAATCGACAAAAATTTCAAACTTACTTCTCTTCTTGCTGATGCCTTAATAACCAAGATAGTAATCCTTAGAGACAAGTGATAAATAGTGCATGCCCCCAAAGGTCCCATCATTCTGGTTTCTACTATATGAACTCAGATGGTACAAACCTGGTTTATCTGATTAAAGCAAACTGATCAAAATATTGGGAATACTAGTAAACAAAAAGAACAATTGGGCACACAAGACTCTCAGAAAAAATATTTTCAATTTCAGCTAACAACACGTCGTCATCAATACTCTCTAAGGGCATGTCTACTACAAAATTAGGTCAATTTTATTTAATTTGACTTTGAGCATCTGATTCAATAACTATAATTGTACATGTCTCCACTCGGTGGCTGTGGTTGATGGAGCACATCCTCACAGCCAGAGATTTCATCAACTAAAGGAGTGATGCACTGTGGGTTGCTATCCCACAGTCTCTTGCAGCAGATTGGAATTCTGGGTAGAGGCCTCAATGGGATGATAACATTGCTGTGGATGGTTATGGATGCATGTCATCAGTCTCCCATGTCAGTGGCTCAGAACCAGCCCTATCCCATGATATACTTGTCTACACGCCTTTATTTTCACGTGGCATTACTGTATCCCTGGTATAGCACTTAGGTGCCCTATGTGATTCTGGCATAGATACCAACAATTCTTTTGCTGAGTCAGAGCTCTGGCTGCACAGACTCTTCCTCCCCCACAACAATCAAATCTGCTGTCTCCTGAACACTCGATGCTGGACACATTTGTGCTCAGCTGTGCTGGTGCATTTTTCACGCTGCACATTAAATGACCATTAAAAAGTTCCCAGAGCTTTTTCCTGCTCACTTGGCTGAAGAGCATTGGAGTTCAAAGTGCTTGCCAGAGCATTCACAACGGAGCACTCCAGATTATCCCCTGGAGGCCAGTAACTCTGAATTACAATACACAATGTTTACAGTGCCCCTAATTCGAGGTGGGAATGTTGTCTCCACTCATTCAGGTGGAGTATAGGGGTTGATTTTAAATGTCCTTCAGGTCAATGGAAAGGACTGGGCAATGCAGACACATTCATCACAAATTTGACTTAATGCTGAATAAATGCTCATACTGTAGACCAGCCCTGCGACTCCAAAAACAGATCCTTGAATCACATGTAGGTAACACAGAAATTATGGAGACACTCTACCACTATCTCCATTAAGCATCTGCAGATGCTGGATCCAATAGCACTAACTGGGCAGCAGGACCTATAGAGGTACCAATGATAACAGTGCAGAATCCCTTGATCTGTAAATATTGAAAACGATACGCTGGTGTATTCTTAGAATCATCGTATTTCTTACACATTCTGGAAGGCCATGCTTCCTCACAGGTCTAAGGGGAATCCCCAGCCTTGTTTCCTATTTTTCTTCTGTGTAAGAGAAAGACAATAACTTGTTTATTCCCGTGACAATGCCAATGGGTACTCAGGACAAGGGCTACAGCCATAAGGCTTTGATTAGGATTATTAAATAATGTGAATTCTGTTAACATGTAACCGCTGAAAATGGAGCTACCTGCCTCTCATCCTCATCCCATGGAGCTACCTGCCTCTCATCCTCTCCCCCGCGCTGCTGCCTGTGTATCAGGGAGGTATTTCTATTAACCAGAAAATAATGGTCTCTCACAGAAGAAAAGGGTCAGAAATAAACAAAAACCCTGGTCTATGTATGCATGAATACAGCATAATATAGTTTAGTCAGGGCCTATGCACACTATATTATAAACTAATGTTGCGGTATGTTAAAACATATCACTCTGTCCCTAGAAAAAACATCATGTAAATACTTACCACAAGCCTTACAAGCTATAGCACAAATCTCTTCTGCAATATATTCGCCAGCTGGAAACTGAAGATAATGTCCCTCGGTCTTCTCTGGGGAATGATAAAGGTAAACCTGAAGCACTGTCTCCGTCTGCTTGGGAGCATTTGTATTCCCAAGGATGTCACCATTCTGATGGAGGGTAGAAGTTGCAGTTCCTTCCATCTCTGTCATTGTAAGGCAGGCCATCTTTTCATTGTGTTCTTCTCAGAGTGGTTGTCTAAAAAACAAAAAGATTATGCACTGACTTTAAAAAGCAAGGGAAACTGAAAGAGCTACACAAGATCTGTTATCTCTGATATTTACATGGTTATAGTTTGTAAACTTGTTAACATTTCCTACTTGAATGAATAAATCTCCCTCTCCCCACACACACTGTATAAAAACTTTTCCTGCAGGATGACAGAGTGACATCATCTGATGTCCTGCCTACCTCCTTCCTCCCTCCTTCCCCTATCCTCTCTCCTCAGCCGCTGGGAGGGGAGAGCTGGGCCCTCCACAGCCAAGAGGGGGACCTAGCCAGCAGGGGGCACAGCCTCCTAATAGATTTTTAAAAGACCTGGGATGCTTTTCAATGGTAATGTGGACATTTTGAAGCATAGAAACTGTGAGTTAAAGTACTGGGTTAGGACTGCATAATTTCTCAAAAAAATTAGCAACAGGTGAGTTTCTTTACAGTTTACAATAGTTCTACTCTGTAAAGTGACTGTGCATAGGAAAAACAAAAAGCCTTCATGATTTTTGCCACTCAATGATTCCAAAGCCAACACTGTATGTTCATTTTACAAATAAAATCAGGATTTTTAATTGTAAGCCCTACAAACCCAGAGCATCTGCATGCCAAATGAGTTCCTCAGTTACACCTCTGCAACCCTATTGTCCCCTAAGCGACAGGTCAGAGGTTGAGCTGATGATGTATAAGAAAAGATATCAACTGAGTCACACTATAGCTAATTCAGAAAAGAATCCCTTTTCAGTTGTGCTTCAGTCCAGCCTAGCATAGTTAAATTACTTCTGCAAGTAAAAACTCAGAATACAATTATCATTAGAAAGACTTCGGTCTTCACAATGTATGTATCCTCCTAGCATTTCTTGAAGTGGCAATTTATTCTAAAATATATGACTAAGTCTAGAAGCAACATACAAACTAGTTTCAAACATTATGCCAAATTTTAAGAAGTGACTCCATCAAAAATTAATCTCCCAAATCAATCTCATGGACCAGTGTGAACATGCTCACAGAGAAGACCAATGAAGAAACTTTTTTCCATTCAATGAAAAAATGCTCTCTCATAACCATAACTATGGAATGAGGGAAAGTGACTTGACACACAACCTAATACATTATACAAAATGCACTTCAATGCAAAAAACTGAGACTGAAAAAATGAACAATGACAGTATAAAACTGCTCAATATAATTTGAAGATGCATGGGCTGGGGTTATCGGTGAGAGAAACAAAAACATTTTGGAACTGTATACCATTTGCCACAATCTACTGCCTTCTAAAAAAAAAAGTCTGCTCTTCAGTAACATTTTTAATCACACTCAGGATTAAAGCAAAATGCAGGACAATGTAGCACTTTAAAGACTAACAAGATGGTTTATTAGATGATGAGCTTTCGTGGGCCAGACCCACTTCCTCAGATCAAATAGTGAAGAAACTCAGGACTAAGTTATCTCTGGCAGGAATGGTTTAGCTGGATCCAGAGGGGATGAACTCCATCAAAAATAGTGAATTCACTCAAAACCTCTCAATTTAACAATGGAATTTTTAAAACGCACTGGAGAGCACATCCCGGGCTAGGCTAAGAGTATCTTTGTTCTTGCATAAAACCATCATGAATTTTTCAGTATAATTAAAACTTATAAAAAAAAAAAAAAGAAAGACTGGAAAATCCCTCTAAAGTTCACTTATATTAAACCACTTGGTCTCTGGAGACAAGCATTAGATGAGTGTTTGTCAAACTGTGCTTTGCGGAACCCCAGGGCTCCGAGAGACATCTCCAGGGGCTTCTCGAGGTTGACAAACTGGAAACATCAACAGGTACAACACATACAATCAGTGGACCACTGGGGCTTTGCATACATTTTTATGCATGTAAAGGGCTCCGGAGCCCAAAAAGTTTGAGAACCGCTGCATTAGATAGTCACAAAGCGCAAAACATTTATTTTCTTAGACTTCATGAACTACGTTATTGTTTTATGAAAGGATATTCTGAAATGCTACTTTCTGACTGTCGTTAGAACACTATTTCTTCTATTATTTGAGATTTTTCCATATACAGTACAATCAAATTTCCATTGTTAATGTTGATTTCCACCTGATTACAATGTAATCAGATTTATATACCTACCAAAGGACTGCAAAACATATTTCTTTTTTAATGCAACAGGTTAATTAACAAGGGCAAAAGACCATTTTGATGACAAATCTGAAATACGGTCTGAAATTCCAAGAGATCAGAGATCACTTTTGTTATATTAAAATAAAACTAGCACCGGTACCGAGTCAGTGTTTCAAAGAAACTTTAGGCTGTTCCTCTAGGTGTAAGCATAATCCACTATGTGTTATACATCCTCCCTCTTTGCCTGATCAACAGAACATATGGGTCCGTTAAAGCTATGACCACAAATGCCTGGCTCCCGAGCTCAAATTGTAGATGCTTGTGCTTTTTATAATTCTGGCGTTTCCAGATTCTGTTCCTGGTGTTTCAGCCAAGATAGAGCCCGTTATACAAGCAATGGCACTACTACGTAAGTGTTCCAAGCAGAAACAGTCACATTCAATTTAGGCACACAAGAAAGCCATTTTTCCTAAAAGAAAAACTACCTGATATTTATCTACTTGTAGCATTAATATGCCAAAAGCCCTTTAAAGGCATAAGGGTTGCAGTTTGGTACAATATGTATGTCTGTCACTGCTTTCTGTGCATTGCCAGTTGCTCTGATGAAACTTTACCAATTTAGTTTTAATCACTGATGAAGTCTGGAGCCCTCTCTCTTCACTGCAGCGATCACTACTCTAAATAGCACTACTGTAGTAGAGAAACTCAGCCTGCCATCAAAAATAAACTTTTACTTCTTCATCTCTGAGTTCTCAGGTCCTTCCATGTCAATTAATCACATTACAAGAAATAGCACAGTTTCCACTGAATCTCCTCTTTCTCTTATGCAAAAAAATGAAAACTTGGCAGCTGTAACAAAAGCAGATGAAAACAATTCCAGAGGCGTGATTGATGGGGACTCTTAAAATTATACTATTTTATAGTTTCATTTCTTTTGTTAACCTGAAATGCTTATGAAGCAACCAAGTGAAAGCAATAACTACAGTCACTATGAATTAGTTAATTCACCAGTAAGTCTGCCAAGGCCCCAATCCGGAAAACACACAAAAGCAAACAATAGCTGTCCTACTGAAAGTTAGTTGGGCTACCCTTCTACATAAAAGTGAAAGCACATGCGTAAGTGTTTGGAGGATCAGGAACTAATAGTGCCATTCACATTAATTAAATTATTTTGTCAGCAACTCATTTTAAAGCTGGATCACCAACTCTACTACCTTCATTCCTTGCCCTATTTTAAAAGTTTTTCCATGTGCCTAATCCCGAGCAAATGAGATTATTAGCTTCATACTAAATTAAAAACAGGACATGCCCAGAAATTTTTACCACTCCATTTTTTAGTTGACCAAAAGCCCAAGTTACATTTTTAGCATACCAATATTAATAGCAATTTGTGAGAGAAAATAGTAGCTTTCTTATGATAGAACAGATGTGCTCTGAATACAGTCTTTAAACATATGCAAAAATACATACATTCTTTAAAAAAATTACATAGTAGGAGTTACTGCCCACATATTTAAGCGAGTGAGAAAGGAAAAGTAAATTACAGTCAGACAAAACCCTGGATTTTGATGCACTTCCAATTATATCAATTCTCATATGAACTTACTACTCCCCTACTGGCCAAGTTAAATCATGCTCTTCAACAAAAACCATTTCCATTATTTAACCTCTGAATAAAAAGTCTCAGAGGGATAGCCGTGTTAGCCTGTAACTTTCAAAATGAGTAGTCCAGCTCTAAGGTGCCACAGGCCTACAGGCAGTCCCCGGGTTACGTACAAGATAGGGACTGTAGGTTTGTTCTTAAGTTGAATCTGTATGTAAGTCGGAACTGGCATCCAGATTCAGCCGCTGCTGAAACTGATCAGTTTCAACAGCGGCTATACAGATTGAACTTAAGAACACCAAGTCAGCTGCTGCTGAAACTTATCAGCCACTGATTCCAGGAAGCCCGGGGCAGAGCAACTGCGCC